AGTGCCATGTCGAATACAGTGCCATGTAGAATACACTGCCAGGCAGACAGCACCTGGTTGTAAGCTGAATTTGAGACTATGACATATCAAAGACACTACCCGCTTTTTCTGATGAAAAGGACGCACAGATACAGGGAAGGGGAAAGATCGTAATTTTAAGCGTCATGGTCCTTGCCAGATTAAAATAATTCATTTTACAAATGAATGTCTTCAGGACAGCAATGACCAAATGACCATTTTCAAAGTCAGCCTATCTTCATGTCACTATTACTGAATCTCTCGTTAGTTTGTTATGTGTCCTGAGGGGCCTATTCTCTATAAAGGGGCTATCTTTTTACAACTATACAAACTTACCTACGTCGTAGTAAAGTATATCTTTGCAAGATGGACTAAATTCATATCTTTAAGAGCTCGTTGAGTACGTTTTGGACTGAGTAAGTCATCAAGTTCTTTTAAGTCAGAAACCATTGTAACCTGAGTATCCTCTGGCCTTGACAACAGACTTTAGAAATGTCGACAGATATATATCTGGTTTGGGAAAATGTCTGAAGTCAGGTGTCTGGGCAGGAGGGAACTCGGGCTAAAACCATTGGCACCGATCTATATCGGTGGTTAAGTATGACGGACTTACAGTCGCCTACCATTTTTGTCGTAAACTATGGTCGCCCAATATCTTTGTCGTAAACTGTGGTCGCCCAATATCTTTGTCGTAAACTATTGTCGACAAATACTTTTGTCGTAAACTGTGGTCGCCCGTTGTCTTTGTCGTAAACACGGGTCGCCCAATATCTTTGTCGTAATTATGGTCGCCCTATGTCTTTGTCGTAAACTATGGTCGCCCAATACCTTTGTCGTAAGCTATGGTAGCCTACTATCTTTGTCGTAAACAATGGTCGCCCAAAATCTTTGTCGTAAACTGTGGTCGCCCAGTATCTTTGTCGTAAACAATGGTCGCCCAAAATCTTTGTCGTAAACTGTGGTCGCCCAGTATCTTTGTCGTAAACTATGGTCGCCCAAAATCTTTGTCGTAAACTGTGGTCGCCCAGTATCTTTGTCGTAAACTATGGTCGCCCAAAATCTTTGTCGTAAACTGTAGTCGCCCAATACCTTTGTCGTAAACTATGTTCGCCCAATACCTTTGTCGTAAACTGTGGTCGCCCAGTATCTTTGTCGTAAACACGGGTCGCCCAATACCTTTGTCGTAAACTATGGTCGCCCAATACCTTTGTCGTAAACTATGTTTGCCCAATACCTTTGTCGTAAACTATGTTCGCCCATTATCTTTGTCGTTAACTGTGAACGCCCAATATCTTTGTCGTTAACTTTGGTCGCCCAATATCTTTGTCGTTAACTATGTTCGCCCAATATCTTTGTCGTTAACTGTGGTCGCCCAATACCTTTGTCGTTAACTGTGGTCGCCCAATACCTTTGTCGTTAACTGTGGTCGCCCAATACCTTTGTCGTAAACTATGGTCGCCCACTATCTTTATTATGAACTATGTTTAACACTTTTCTCCACCGTTAACTTTGGCGTCTCAATTGTGTTTATTGATATTTTACTATATACTAAAATATGGCTGCCTTAGAGGGGTTTTATTACGCAGTGGTTGTCCGTTTTATCTGTTGCACATATTAGTTGTCCCAATGCTCTCTCGTTTTTTCCGATGTAATTGTCTAATGTCAGCAATTGTGATTTCTGTGTTGCACCATACCTGTATAACCGTATGCAAACGTGTTATATACATGCACTATATGCCCCATATCTGTGTTGTATACGTATTCATATGCCGTATGTAGGGTTCTATTTCTGAACCATTTATTGTAAGATTTGGACTGATCACAGCCACTTAAATATGTTTCGAATAATTTTGTAATAATCTTTCTACTTAGATAAATATTTGAATAAAAGCATTCAACTATGATAAATTATTAACATTTATAACTGAGAGGAAGTATTCAGAATTAAAAATGAATATTCATATCAAAATAAGTTGACAAAACCTGTCCACATACATTGTTTTGTACTGATGCCAAGAGGAGAGGCATGTAGGTTTCATAGAATGAAAAATTAATGGACAAATGCCATGAACTCACACTAATTTGCTTTGTATCGACTCATGGCAGACGACAAACCTCGTGCAATACAGGCGAGCACGTGAGAAAACCTATAGTACGTAGGCCGCCATGTTGAACGTATATGGTTTATTGGAACTTGATATTCCGTCTCGCATCACACATGCTGGTTGCCCCATGAAAACCCAATTCTGATAAATGGCTTATAATGAATTACTTTTATAGACCGTGATGAAAGTTGACTGATCAGTACGCGATACAATACCGCACCACGAGTTACTGGTTTTTAAACATCCTATTTTCCCAATTTTTATATCGTGGTTCTGGAGATCGCGCCTGCGCTCGTGAGGGGCTTGTCCGTATATAAGGTCTTGTCCTGTGAGGTTTGTTCGTATGTGTGCGCCGCGTGTAAATGGTAATGCTAGGTCCCTGGACAATGGTGGTTTTCAGGAATGTATTACCACACCAAGTTCTCCGGCAGCACTGCTGTTTCATGGAGCAGTATACGTACTGGCATACACGAATAGGGACCCCGGGGAGCATTGCTGCTTTCCTACAGTACCAGAGACTGAATGGGATGGCAAAGTTCCATAATAAGGTTTATTCTTTAACAAAGTGTAGCGAAACAGCATATTCAAAGATTCAAAAAGGTGTGCTGTTCTGAGACAAAGATAGACAACAGAATATACCTTACCGCAGAAAAAAGGGCAGACGAGGTTACAGAGTTGTTTACAGACACTGGACAGACAAGATAATAAAACTAATAAGAAAGCAGACAGAGAAAAGGACAAAACTGGTTACTGTACCGACAACAGACAGACAAAAGGACAAAACTGGTAACCGACAACAGACAGACAAAAGGACAACACAAGTAACAGACAACAGACAGACAAAAGGACAAAACTGGTTACAAACAACAGACAGACAAAAGGACAAAACTGGTTACCGACAACAGACAGACAAAAGGACAAAACCGGTTACAGACAACAGACTGACAAAAGGACAAAACTGGTAACCGACAACAGGCAGACAAAAGGACAACACAAGTAACAGACAACAGACAGACAAAAGGACAAAACTGGTTACCGACAACAGACAGACAAAAGGACAAAACTGGTTACAGACAACAGACAGCCCAAGTAACGAAATTTATCACAGGAATCAGACAGACAAGATGACAGAACTCGCCAAAGGAAACAGACGGACCACAGAAGAAAGCTAATTACAGAAAACAGAAGGACAACAGAAAACAGCTGGTTATAGAAAATAGACAGAAAAGAGAGCAGAACTGAGTCCAGACAACTGACAAACGAACAGAAATGTTCACAGACAGCAGACAGAAAAAGGAACAGAACAACAAAAGTTCACAAACAAAACAACAGAGGAGGTAATAGACTCTAGACAGACCACAGAAACGAACCGATTACATACGGTAAAACAGATACCAATTTTGTATATTCATTAAAGCACTTTCGCCAAGAACAGGCGCTGTAAGGCAAATAAGGCAGAAAAATATATGAATGTCAAATAGATATGACACTGTGTTCTTTTTTGTTAATCAAAACTACTGTTTAATCAATTCATTGGGAAGTTAAGTGCGCCAAGGTCATAATAATGTTTGTAACAGGTCGCGAAATACATCATGTTGTGCATCAAGGTAACGAGAACGTTAGCAAAATAATGTGCATCAAGGTCACAGAAATGTTTATAACGCACCACGCAACAAGAACACAGGAGCGGTTTAAAACGATTCACTTCACGGCATTGTATCTGTACAAGTTACCTTGGGGCACCATTCCGCCGCGGCTAATACAGTGTCTTGGCTTGCTTTTCTGAGCCTTTTCAACAATTTGATTTATGAATTGCAGAGATGACACAACTGTCCCTAGAATTACATTAAATACACACGCATACACAAAGATAATATTTCGTTTTATCTCTCACCATTCCTAGAACAATTCCAAGAGCCTGTGAAATATTCTAAGACGAAAAATGCAACATAATCGATCAATGCATAGGACAAAGCGTTTGCATGACGGCGAGTTTACGGAACGAGCCTCAAGTATATAACTTGACGTCATACTCCATCACTGAAGAGGAGTGGGCGGTAAAGAACAGTTGCTGCTCGAAAAGACCAAAAAAAGTCATTTACATAAAAAAGGGCCACAGGAATGGAGCAAAATTAATGAGGCAACTAAAAAATCAATGGAAATAAAATATATTCCAATTATGTCCATTGTGACCTGTTTCTCATCTAAATTTCATAAAACCGGAAGAAGCGTTGCATTTGTGATGTAAAAAAAATCTTATATGCGATATCAATGGTTTTCAATGAGCATAAGTAATGGAACATTACTGTACTAATCTGAAATGTGAATTGGTAATTTTAATTGTTATAGACGAGAGCAATGTATTAATACTGTAGACTTGAATGAATAAAGACACAACCTAACAAAACCATAGTCAATTCAGCAAGACATTTTCGTTTTATCCTAATTAAAAAAACTTAATATTCTTATATGTGGCTGCGTTTAAAAGATCCTTTTTTGTAGAAAAAAAGTCGTCTTACCATTGCGTTACTAATGTACATGGTTTAAATGCAACCATAGGCATTCCTTCTGCTTTTAGTTCAACCATTAAAAAAAGGACGATGATCACTTTCACAATTCGGCTACCTATCTCTGTGAAATGACACACAAGTAAGGTTAACGCAATCAAGTTACAAGACTTTGTAATTTTCAGATATTCTGAAGAATATAAAACGCAAGTACAATAAAACTAATATCATAATTTGGACAAAAATGTATCATTTCCTACATGAACGGCATAATAAAGTTGTATGCATTGCAACAGAGACGAACACTGCTCGAGCAAATATTGATTCAAAACATTTCGCATGATGGAAGTAATAAAGTTAGATTCCATACCACTGTTGCGCTATTCCCCGTCCAATGTGAAGCTTCCGAACACAGTTGTCGAGTACCAACCAAAGGATAATGCATCCCTAGCACAGAGCTCTGTCCACATGAACTAAGTCACAAACTCGCGAATGTTCGCGAGACACACAAGGGCGACACCTGACGCACGATATCGTATGTACCTACATATTACACAGCACTGTCAGCTGTCTCAACAACGGATCCGGAGCTGATCTCCTAGTTTTCACTCCTCTTCAGTAACAAAGAGCCCAAAGCAGGAACACGTGTTTCGATGTTTTTTAATACATTTATCATTAGGAATAATAGTGATATCGTCAGTAAATAGGTACACAAGCGTCCCTGTGTCCATCATTACCGCATCCCCCAAAATCAAGATGAATGCGTGCTACATGTAAGTATGATACAGATAGTAAACGAGAATTCAGTGTCTTTTCTACATATACACCGACGCTTGAGAGAACACGACGTAGAAAAAGTTACAGGAGATCAAATGCGACCATGTAATCGGAGTCAAGTCTATACTCAAGAGTTTCAGTACGCAACACGGAATGTATTTTTTTTAATAAATACCTTCTTTAAATAGTTTTTTACTTTTGTACATTGTCCAACGTATGGCGAAGGCCCCGTCATCTCGATAGGCTGACAGTCAAGACCCAAGCTGTCACGTATGTAGCCATGTATTACGTATTTAAAACTGCTACGTTAATTACCTTTGCATTCATTATTAAGGATCCTTACCCAGACACATTTCTGAAGCGATATATTTCTTAAATTTTGTTACAGCCCCTAACCACTGATTCGAAATTTTCTAAGGATCCACTAATCTTATAAACTTTATATTTCGTAGTATCTTTTTACCACTGATGTTATAGGCATATTCGAAACACTATTAAGGATACATACACCATTAATTTTATAAACTAGTATTTTATTTAATGGAGCCTTTTCACCTCTGATATTGTAAAATTAAAGCAATTTTTTAAAGAATCCGACGTCGATTATTTATAAAGCATGTGACAGTTTGATTTTATTCAAGCCCTTACCCGGTTTCAATGTTTTTCTTCAAGGAAGAACGCCGGTCTTTCACATGTTACTTCCTTACGTGATGTTACTGAATTGTACAGCTGTGTTGAATTGAGCAACTTGATAGTTTTTATAATACAATAATCATAGCTAAATTCTGACAGTTGAAGTTTACGAAATTCTATGTGTCATTAAAAAAAACTGCTGTGAAGCGGTTCGAACCTACAATGTGGCCTTTAGTTGGGTAATTAGGTGATACACTGAGCTACATGAAGTACCAGTTTGTCCCAGGAGCTCATGTGCCCATAAGTACTGGTGTATACTATTGAAAGGAAATGAAACATGGCAACAGTTGGCGGCGGGAAGCTTGTTTGTACGTATAACATAGTGCTAAACAGCTTTTATATTAATATTTAATGCCAATTACAAATGTTTTATATAGCATTGGCAGTTATTTTGTTGTACGATTTTGTAATTTATGTCGATCGATAGAGCGGTGTCAACCCGGTGTAAATCATGTATGTACGTTACATGTGAGCTGTATATTGTAAACATGGGTCAAGGTCGACGTCACACATTCCATTCCCGACTGACGGTAATGCATTGGTGACGTCATGTTGTTACATTAGCAGTAAATTAAACTTTCCCCACAGCAATTGTGAAACACGTTTTTTATCAGCCTACATTTTATATTAATCACTCTTGTTGGCTCGAGTAGAAGCGTGCAAAGAGTCTTAATGTGGAGCGAAACCGGAGTACCCGGAGTACACCATCGTGTTCGGGCACGTGACTTAATACCTTGCACGTGCGATCGGGGAGTCGAACCCCGGTCGTCTTCGTAAAAGGCGAGTGCGCTTTCCACTGCACCCCCGACCACCTAGTATCATCTTTGGTATAACTAGTTAGCGGATGTTTGCTTTCAGTAGAACGAATGGCACGGGTCGTTTATAGCATGCGATATTTAAGCACTATTTCTCATAACGAACTGTTTTGATTTTTTTTCAATATTATTCAATATTGGGCAATATTAGCCCAAACATATTTTTCCTAATCGAAAACTTTGTGTGACAGTGTGCGTCCATCTTATCAGATTAAGTATAAACTCAATCTTGAAAACATAAGCTACGGCACGTACATGCTGCAAGAACAATTCCCTTCAGTACACTCTACTTGTAGCCATATGCATCTCACCCGGAATCTTGAAAACCACGCGCATGCGCCATATTTATTCTCTTTCAGTATTCTATCAATTTATCTGTGATCCTAAAAATCAAACCGGAATGACTATGGGCATGAGCTGGGTTTTACTTCTGATCACGTGCTGAAACAGAACTGTTATTGATTGACATTGTTCATTTAAATTTTACTAGTATCGATTGAGCTTTAAAATACATCAACAATTTTGACCCACATAATTTTGCTGTGTTCACTTCCGGTACTTCCGGTTCTATTGTTGTTAAACGATATTGGTCAACATGCCTTTAATACTGACAAAGAGAATTTCTTCCAAAGGATATACAGATAATGGAATAGAGTGAGGGATACAAGTTATCCTTTTAAAAACGTTGACACAGTTTATCAACACATGCCTACATAGATACAGCAGAAAAAAACTAAAATGGATTTCCAATCACTCGACCCTGGGAAACTAACATTCATTAATTCTCGCAGACAGTTCCACTTGAGGAAAATTGCAAGAAGAGCTGCTGATATTAAACAAATTCGTGTTTGTATTTGTCACACAAATAATCAAGACGGGTATACTTGAAGGGGAACTTACATTATTCTATCCTAGACTGTTATTAAGTATTGATAACCACGATGCTTTCCGTTTAAACGCCGTTTCTGCCACTATCCCAGCGTCGGTGCGCCATTTGTAAGCCTTGTGGTACAAGCCCAATACACTGCTGCCTTTTAGCCATCGATTTTTAGCGCTGTTGGATCGAGCCGTACTCGGACTGTAGGAAGGAGCTGTTTCATTGCGTAATACATGCGCGCGACAGGAAACGTTACATACCATTAAACAGGAGACGCTATGAAATGGTTCTATTGATGGTGTAGTCATCCTTCTTTTTAACAATGGAAAGTCAACTCTGACCAGTCACGAATTATTGTGATCTGAAGGTCAAAATCAAAATCCGAAACTGCGGCTACACGATCAGAAGACACAAAATACAATGTATTTCATCGGTCAGGCAGTGAACAAGAGAAGTTCTATCTAAATTAAAATCGATTTCATCGATACATTTATTGTGTCGTTCGCTGCAGAACATGTGCATCACATTGAGTTGCTGTGGATTTTCGGTGGCACGCCGCATACAGGCGTACAGATAAACATGTCATGATTATAAAGAAAATATTTATCTGTTAATATTTTCATTGGAGATATAATATCCAGTCAGTTTTCGACAGCTATCAACCCAAAAATAGCCGGTATTCGGAAACAGCATATACCGGACATTCGTTTTTCTTTATCATACACATCTATTGCCGGTTAAGGCAAACTTCAGATTAGGGTTAGTGTAGCAAAATAATTTAGATCAACCTTAGTTTAAGCGGTAGTTTGCCCTATTTTGGTCTGACATGTTGTGAAACGTATTGATTTCAGCCACTTAAACATGTTCTTTTAAGTATTTGCATCATTTGTTCTGCATTTTCCGGCGTACTTCCGAGACCGCATATATGATCAAAATAATGGATTCGTGGTGTTGAGCAGCCGCTATCTTTATATATAAATGACTGAATGTATAGTTATACTCGGAGTTCAATGATGTAAACATTATTCAATTTTCTATGAGCAATTTGATTTGATTTAAAAAAAACACATATATACAATACAATTATACTTAACAAAACAATAGTAAGCTGTATTCCAGTATGGACTTAAATTGTGGTTCCAACTATGCTACTCAAAGGTAAAAACTAGAGTGTACCGAGAATCGCCCAAACATTCGGATGAAAGAATGAACATAAAAAAGAAAACAACAATCCGGAATTGTGGATTGAAGCACAGCTTTTGTAAGCAATGCTACAACACTGTGCGTGTAGCACCGTCGGAAAGAAACCTATTTTGATATTACAGTGCATCAGGGAAATCTTAAATTATTCATGAAACCTTCCATCTTTTGCAATTTCTCAATAATAAGAAAAGTTACGTAATATAGATAATTTTTATTTTCAGGAAATGTGGCGTACCTTCTCACGTTAATTCCAAAAAGGGCATCTTCCATAGTCATGTCTCCTTTTGGTGTCATAAATACATTTATTTATACCAATAGTTTCTATGCAAATAAAAAAATCATTTCCAAAAGAATTGTGCTTAAAAGTCTATGAATGCAACACGGCCAGTGTCCCCTGTCTCCCATGATGTAAGATCGCCGTAAGAAACAAACATTTAGGTGACGTTAGGCTGTTCCATGTTTGTCGTTTACCTTTACACTTAGTTTACCAATAAGATTGGATTAAGAATGTTAATATTTGTATTAAACGTCATTTGAACGGAATTTGAACGGAATTTCATATTTCCATTAAATAAAGGAAACTGCGAACTGCGGACTCTCGATTTATTAATTGGAAAATAACAATTTAATGTTGGTATTTAATATTAGAAAAAAATCAATAAAGGAGGCACGCAATCAAATAATTTACACCGTTGCATTACCAAGAGTTATATCACAAGGTAAGCGCCACTTGAGTTCAACCGAACCGATCTGTCATTAAAAATAATGAAACATCCGTAGCAAATGATGTAAGGCAGATTATGGGTTAAATTTTTCCGGAGGATGGAGTCCGGTACCTGTACTTTTACTAGAGTCGCCATCGTCAGCCAATCATACTACATCTATCAGTATAGATGAGTAAAACATTGTCTTTAAACCCCTTTGTACCTCTTTCCCTTCTTCTTCCCCCATCCTCTTCTCTTCCATATATCTATATCTATATATATAATATTACTCAATGCCGTCCTATCGCCGTTTCACAAAAAGGAGACGGATTAACATTATAAGTATTTTGCACTTGTTTTCGAATCCTATATGTATATCATGTTTGTATTACTGGAATATTATTCCGATAACAAAAAGATGAGTACAACATTTATAAACAATAAAAGTGAAGTATATCAATAAAACAACCCTTTAATATTAGCCCTCCCTGCAATATCCCCCCCC